AAGAGCTGGACCAGTTTGTAAATGAATGGCAGTGATGTGGGAGAAGCTGCAGAACAAAACAAGCAAAAGAGCTTTTCATTGTAAAAGATAAAACTAAGATACAACAATACTAAACATATTAAGAAAGAACTAATCCTAACTAGAGTTAATCAAAACCTAGTTGTCTTACTTCTTTCTGTTCGGCTCAGTACTTTGGCCTTCATTCAGGGCACTGCTCCCATCCCTACCAAGCCATCTTCAGTATTTTCCAACGGACTGTTTGCAGAATAGCTATGGAGCACCTGTCACCCAGCAGAAGGGGGAACACCCATCCCCTCCACGCCCCAGCTGCCACCTCTATGTCATGGGACCAGCCCATTCTTCAGTGACAGCAACAGCCATCACTAGTGAAACTCCATATATAAGCAGATCAAACACATGACTACATTGCTGCCCAGGGGCAACTCTTCACTTTCCTGACAGGACAGCCTGCCAGGCAATTACTCTTCCAGGAGACATTCACCTTGTAGAACCTCAAGTTGACTGAGGCAGAGGCTGAGACTAGGACAGCTCAGCCTGCCTCTCACAGTCTGTACCTTGCCTGTTGGAAAGAGTTCAGGATGGAATAACTGCTTTCAGAAAACTGGCTTTTGTAGAGCTGCATCTTTCTACATGGATTGCGACTGGAAGCATTAGAAACAAGACTAATAGTAAGTTCCTAGTCACACAATTTTTGCGTCTCCCAAAGACGAGACATTTACACAGACCAAATCTATTAAAAGCAACTATTTTCTTCTCTGTAACCATAATGGAATTTAAGAAATTGGAAATCTTAATACTGTACCTGGGTCTAATCTCACCACCACCAGGTAGAGCAGAAAAGTAGCCAAGAGCATCTTTTTGTAAGGAAGTAAATAGAAGTGGCTTGACATGGACCTCAGTGCTCTACGTAGCAATGTCAACATGGTCAAGAGCTTTCGGGACAGAGCACCTAGAACACAAGAACAGAAAGGCCGTTAGGGCAAAGTAAAGTAAAGTAATCACATAGATACAGATAATATGAAACTAAAGGAAGACTGTTCTTAGTTTGATTGCATGAGAGTTAGGATGGGTTTTTTTTTTATAATAGGGACCAGAGAAACAGTACAATTTTGTAATGCAATTCATTATACTTTTTTTTAGGCATCTACTTTAGTATAGTATGATCTTATACCACAGTACTGCCAGCTCCTCTCCTGGGAGATAACATCAAGTGATTTACAGTTCTGGAGGAGCAGCAGTACTTTAAATGCCAGGCATGCATTGTTCTACATGGGCTCAACTGTAAATGGAGACAAAGCAGAGAGTACATAGAGCCAACAAAATGTACCCTTAAAGGATTGCTAGGTAGTTTTAGTTTCCCTTTTGTACCTTTAAAAAAAAAAACCAAAAACATTTATTCTGAAGTGCTTTTGAACCTGGAAAATAATTCTCATCTCTTGACATCGGCAGAGACTAAATATGCTTTGTAATTGTCAGCAAATGGATCACTAAGTCTTCCATTTCCTTCTGTGATACACAACAGGACTTCCTCCTGGCTGTGATACACAACAGGACTTCCTCATGGCTGGTTTGTCATGACAATATTCTTAATACATAGTTAATACTTGCTTCTCTTTGTTAGTAAGGGACCAACTAACTTGAAATAAAATTATAAAAAAGGAGCGCAAACAACAGAGGGCAAGCCTACCCAAAACAGTTTCTGTTGCGGCGTCTTGCTGCTCTTCAGCAGCCGAGTGCATCTCTTCCTGTTGAGTCCACTGACATCGGCTTTGACAAATGGTCCCAAGAAATGCTAGCTGCTGCTCACTGTCAAAAACATCACAGTCGCGTACAAGCTCTTCTGCCCCCTCAAACCGGCCAAGTGGAAGCAACACATGCAACAGATAGAGCTCCAGCAATGAACCATACTCGGGGAGGCTCTTATTGGTTTGATCTCTCAGCCAGCTACTGCCAACCTCCAGCATCACCTGGGGCTCTCTCACTTTGCTGTATAACAGGATACTGAAACAGAAGAAATAAATATTAGAAAACACTAACTCTTTGTAAAAGTTGAGACCACTGACAGTTACTACCCACAAGTAGCCATCATGAAGACATGTATCAGGGTCTACACTTGAAACACAGATTTCTGAGGCGGACAATAGGTGCAGCCACTGATGTTACTTTCTCAGCATCACCCCTTTTGTACTTTTTCACCATAAAGCAATCTGTTGGCCTGCAGGCATGCTCCAGCACACACAGGTCAAGAACAGGCCTGTCCCAGGTTCCGCTTTCATCCTCACTTACACCGCGCAAAGTGAAAATATCGCACAATATTCAAGTCTGGCCTGCTATTAAACCTAATGCATGCAAGCCCTTCTGTATCTGGCAGCCACAGACAGAAACTCACCACAGCTCCAGAACTTTTGGAGGCAGGTGCTCGGGGACATGGTAATACTGTAGGACCCAAGACAGAACTTCTCTCCACCGGTTCATCTCAGCCAGCGCCTGAATCCCCACAACACAAAGGGAGCATTTCACTTCTGCAGAACTGGTAATGAAGAGACACCTAAATAAGCGCTTCTTACATCTCCCCTTGCATCCCTTCCAGCGAGCTGCAGCCGAGCCTAGGTGCTCTACAGTTCTCCAACAGCCACTTCCCCTCCTTTCCCTCTCCTCCTACCCCGCGCGCCCGATAAAAAGGCAAATTCAACCCCCCGAGAAGATGCACAGAGGCTGCGTCTCTAGGAGGACGCGAGGAAGGCTCCTAGGCACACCTCGCTTCCCTCAAACACGCACAGATCCCTTCATGCGAGACGTGTAAACA